TTCTGGGAGTCGAAGCCCACCCCTCTTAAAGCATGAAAACTGGGGGATTCTGGGAGTCGAAGCCCACCCCTCTTAAAGCATGAAAACTGGGGGATTCTGGGGGTTGAAGCCCACCCCTCTTAAAGCATGCAAACTGGGAGATTCTGGGGGTTGAAGCCCACCCCTCTTAAATCATGCAAACTGGGAGATTCTGGGAGTGGAAGCCCACCCCTCTTAAAGCATGAAAACGGGGGGATTCTGGGAGTTGAGGCACACTCTTCTTAAAGCATGCAAACGGGGGGATTCTGGGAGTCGAAGTCCATCCCTCTTAAAGCATGCAAATGGGGGGATTCACCAGATCCCACAAACTCCAACCACCCCCAAGCCCACCTTCTCCTTCCCAACTCTTCCCCCCTCCATCAAAGTCCCTCCCCCCAAAATCCCGCATCCCGCCCCCAGTGAGCCCTCCCTCCCCATTTCCTCTGCAGTGGCGACCCAAAAGAGAGGGGCCAGGCCAGCTTCTGCCCCACCCAGCTCAGACTGGCGGGAGCAACTGGTTTATCCTGGTCTGCAGCCAGCTGTTGTGAGGGGGGGGAGAGGGAGCCTCTCTGGGCTTCCAGATGTTGGGGCTTGGCACCTGGTGCTCGCCGGGGCACGCCCCGCTCACCCTTGACACACCTGGGCTGCCTGCTTCGGTTTTCCTAGGCTGCAGAGCCGGCAGACAGAGGCTGCGAGCCGGGGCATGTTCTCAGGAGGAAAGGCAGCTGGATGACTGAGGAGGCAGCGCGGTGTAGTGCTTAGAGTCAAGTCTATCTAGGAACGCCAGCTGACGGCCGGAGGTTCCCAGCGGGGCATGGCAGAAGAATAGATTTGGAAGGGGCCTTGGAGGTCTTCTAGTCCAACCCCCTGCTCAAGCAGGAGAAGAGACCATTTCAGATAAATGGTTATCCAGTCTCTTCTTGAAAGCCTCCAGTGATTAGGAAGGAAGGAAGGAAGGAAGGAAGGAAGGAAGGAAGGAAGGAAGGAAGGAAGGAAGGAAGGAAGGAGATGATAGAGGGAAGGAAGGAAAGAGGGAAGGAAGGTGATGATAGAACGAAATGGAAGGAAAAAAGGAAGGAAGGAGAGAGATGATAGAGGGAAGGAAGGAAGGGAAGAGTGAAGGAAGGTGATGATAGAGGGAAGGAAGGAAAGAGGGAAGGAAGGTGATGATAGAATGAAATGGAAGGAAGGAAGGAGAGAGATGATGGAAGAAAGGAAGGAAAGTGAAGGAAGGTGATGATAGAAGGAAAGATGGAAGGAAGGAAGGAGAGAGATGAGAGAGGGAAGGAAGGAAAGAGTGAAGGAAGGTGATGATAGAGGGAGGGAGGGAAGGAAGGAAGGAAGGAAGGAAGGAAGGAAGGAAGGAAGGAAAGCAGAATAACAGAATAAAAGTGTTGGAAGGGACTTTGGAGGTCTTCTAGTCCAACCCTTTGCTCAAGCAGGAGGCCCTCTACCATTTCACACAAACAGTTGTCCAATCTCTTCTTAAAAACCTCCCATGTTGGAGCCCCCCACAACATCTGGAAGCCAAGCCCGCCTCTTAGGGGGCTCCCCAGAGGGCATCCGTCAGATCCCTCTAAGCTCTTCCTAGATTTTTTCCGCTGGCACCGCCCTCAACCCGAACCGATTGCCTAACGCCCGAATTTCCATCCCAGGAGGGGCCACAGGCAGGGCTGCAACGGTGTGAGAAACACCCCCCGGGTCCCTTCCCCCCTCCCTCTGGGCCGTCGTAACTTGGAACGGTCACTAAGCGAAGGTTGCAAGCCAGCTCTGTGCCAGGCCAAAAACAGCCCCTCCCTCACGGTGATATTTTCGGGAAACAGGTTGGCCTGCAACACAATCGGCCTTTGTTGAGCTCAGGAGGGGAACAAACCAGCATCTGTCTGCAGAGCCCGCTTGCCAGACCTTCCCGATTGGTCGTCCCCGGTGGGGAGGGTCCGGGAGGGGTGGTCCGTGGCTTGGATTTTAGGGCCCCCCCCACACCCCCAAAGCCCTACATTCCTGCCAGCCAGCCAGCCAACCCATCATCCACCTCCCTCCGGTGCAGTAAGTCGTCCCCGTTTCGGAAGGGCAGGGAGGGATAGGATTGCCTAGTGGTTGGAGAGTCTTCAGCCCTTGGCGTGCTTCTACCTCCCCCACCCCAAATCCCCCACCCCACCCTAGATTTTCCCAGCTACGGAAACAAAAAACTGCTGCATTTGTGATTATATTAGCCAGTGCAAAACTTCACCGAAGATATTTTGTGTGTGTGTGTGTGTGTGTGTGTCCCTCCTCAAAAATGACACTTTTAAGCTGAATTCATTAATTGCATTTTCAGTGGATCCCCCCCCCCCACTAAGATGGGTGGGATATGCAAAGGGAGAGGGGTAGAAGATTGAGGAAGGGTGCATTCACACAACCGCTGGGAGCCTGTTTGTTGAACTAACTAACTGATAAACTAACTAACTAACTAACTAACATGCAAAGGGAGGGTAGAAGATTGAGGAAGGGTGCATTCACACAACCGTTGGGAACCTGTTTGTTGAACTAACTGACTAACTAACTAACTAACTAACTAACTAACATACATGCAAAGGGAGGGTAGAAGATTGGAGGAGGTTGCGTTCACACAACCGTTGGGAACCTGTTTGTTGAACTAACTGACTAACTAACTAACTAACTAACTAACTAACATACATGCAAAGGGAGGGTAGAAGATTGGAGGAGGTTGCGTTCACACAACCGTTGGGAACCTGTTTGTTGAACTAACTGATTAACTAACTGACTAACTAACTAACTGACTATCTAACCAACCGGTTTGGGGAGCCTAACATCCCTCAACGAACCAACTAAGCCAACGTTAACTACGTTTAGCATCCCACGCTCCAGGAAGCGAAGCTTAATCCAGGTTTAAACTAACCGGGGTTAGCTTGTTCGGCGGACCCAGCGTCTTTGGTTTTTCACCATAAAGTGAAGTTTCTCTCCTACGCATGCAAAGTCGGGTTTGT